CCCACGACCACCAGCCGCCTTGGTCGGGTCCAGAGCCTGTCCACGGACGCATCAGCTGGTCTTCGACACGAAGACCGGTTGATGAAGAAGATGACGACGAAGACTTCGGCATCCCGTGATCTGAGCGTTCTCATCGGTCACGCGTCCCGTCTCACCTTTCTCGATGTCCTGGTACTTGTCGAACGGCTGCAGCTGGAAGTCGTCGTCGAACCCGCCGAAGGCGTACACCAGGTGCGTGCACAGGTAGGGGTTGATGTTGGCCGGTACATACTTGGCCAGGCCCAGACGGTACACCGACCAGTTGGCGTAGTAGCACACTACTCGTTTTCGCGTCTTCTTGATGGCCGCGTCTGAAAAAGTAAAACAAACCGGGCGCGGGTTAGAGATTCCGCTGTGAAAGTGTATTGATTACCGCAGCATTCCTGCTTGATAATGATCCACAGGCTCAGTGCCGTGCACCAACTCGACAGTGCCTTTTTTGGGGAGCTGGAGGCCGCAGTAATTAACACACATACGCAGCACTTTGTGCAGCAGCTGCCGGACACAAACACGAGGCGCTGCGTGAAACCTCACAACAGTCCACGTGATAACTGGACACCAATGACGTCTGCCGTTAAATCGATGGCACCGCCACGCGGCTGAACACTTGACACACCTTGACGCGTCACGTCGGAGTTTATGACGTCGGAATCTGACCGCATCCGCTAGGTGAAGCGTGTTTTTGCGTGCTGATCGCCTGTTTTCGCTCCGTACAAGGAAAACGCCTGCCATCGGCTGCCTTGAGGAACACCAGGACGTGTCATGCGCCAGCCGGTTTCAAACCAGCTGCTGGCATGGCTCAACTGACTGCACGCGCCGCCTCACTGCCTGTTCAGCATCACATCCGCCACGTGATTTTCCCAAGTAAGCCACTTTCGAAAGAAAGTATCCCGCACCAAGACCAAGTTCGCTTTATGGCAAAAGCCGGCAGTTCGACGCGGATGACTTCCAGGCGTAGGTATACCAGTCCCCTCCCCCACTACCTGTTGTGCGGCAAAACTGTGCGAGCCCCACTCCACAGGCACGAACTACCAGGGTTCTGAGGCCCATTCTGGGTACGCGACCCTGGTTTGTAAAGGCACTTTTGAGTCATTAACATACTGTTACAAAATTAGGGTCATGACCTCGGCTTTGTTCAAATAGTTTTTCATTTTCTCCTGTCCTTGAGATACCATCTCATGAAAAACAGGATTAAATGTTTTTTTTGCATGGTTTTTTGGTCCGAAAAAGGTTTAAAAAGAATCGCAGTTAGCCGTTAATTGAATTAAGCGCGAGCCCAGCCAGTGGATCTTGGTGAGAAATCGGGAGCGTTCGGCTCTGACAACTAGACCCACGTCTCAGCCTGCCGCTGGCAGCGGCCTGGGAGACCGCTCCCCAGCTGGATCCCGGGGAGCGCCGGAGGAGCGGTCGGTCTGTAACGGTTGTGAAACTGCTCCCCGGCATGACCC